TCTGACAATTGCGTTAATTAAAGAATTCCAGCTGCGCACATATACTGAATATATACTAACATATATTCAATATATACCACCTGAGCTGCGTAAATTAAAGAATTTTAGTTGCGCGGAATTAAATGAGTTAGTTATTTATTATAGACATGTTTTTTTCATTTCTCTCTCTTAATCAATTCCATAAAAAAATGGATAGATGTTGAAGATTATAGTAACTGAATTTAAGCATTAATAATACTTATTATCTATTAGGTACGTCTGTAATTATTTGTTTATGGATTGTATATTTATAATATTTTTAAAATCATGTAGCATATATGAAAATTTCCCTATCAAATTTATGAATGAGCTGAAGTTCACAGAGTGACCGCTTACTACCTTAATCACCACCAATGGTTTATCTGACCGACACGTGTAAAAGTCGGCAAAACCACCCACCATCAAATCCTCACCGTTAAATGCTACTTTATCACCTCCACCGTCACCCGACACCGTCCATTCCGAATGGATACGCGTTGATTAAGTGCTTGTTTGGGAGCACTTTTGAAAAAATTCATTTAAATATGGACTTATCCAAAATGTACTTCTTCAAAAGTCTCTATCATTTACTTCTACAGAATGGACTTTTTGGAGAAACAACTTATCTATAAGTCAATTCTTAATTTAGCACCAAACATAAATATTTATCAAAATGGACTTTTTCATCCAAAAGTCCATTTGAAATGTATTTCCAAACAAGCTCTAAAGCACAACAATATCACCGCATATGATTTTAATTTATAATATAATATATTAACAATATTTGCAGCTACTATCTTTATTAGTTGCAGAATTTAAATTTAATATATAATATATTGAAGAGAAAAAAATCTTCAAAATTTAAAATAAAAAATTATTGATAATTTAATAGTCAATATTAACTTGAACGTAAACGAAATAATCAATTATTTATAGTTTTGTGAGAAAAGATAAAGTATATGATTTATTGTATTAACATAGGACTATGTACGTGTATATAAAGATATAAGATGTTGGGCCTATAAACCTAATCCTACAATACATGTAGAACAATTATAACTAACACCCTCCCTCAAACTCAAGGTGGTATAGTGGAGATCAACTTGAGTTTGCTAAGAAGTAAACAAAAACTACCGGGAAGGAGAGACTTCGTGAAGACATCAGTTGGTTGATCCGTAGAGGAGACATAAACAAGCTTCACAGTCCCATGTGCAACATGTTGTCGACTGACGTGACAATCAAGCTCAATATATTTGGTGCGCTCATGAAATATATCATTATGAGACATCTTTATAGCACTCTGACTATCACAATGTAGAGCAGTAGACGACAACTGAGGCGCACCGAGATCAGCAAGTAGCCGACGTAACCATAATAACTCGGAGGTGGAATCAGCAAGAGCACGATACTAAGACTCATCACTCGACCTGGAAACTAATGTTTGCTTCTTACTGCGCCAAGAGACGAGTGAATCACCCAGAAAGAAGCAGTACCCAGTAATGGAACGACGATCAGTAGGATCTCCAGCCCAATCTGTATCAGAATAGCCGCTAAGTGTCAAGGAAGAACTGGCCGGGAAGTGTAAACCATGCAATAGAGTGCCCTTCACATAGCGAAGAATGTGCAACACAGCAAAATGATGCGTGGTTCGCGGAGCAACCATAAATTGACTCACAATATGAACCGCATGGGCTATATCAAGCCGAGTAACAGTCAAATATATCAAACTCCCAACAAGCTGACGACATAACGTATGATCCTCAAGAAGAGAGTCATCCAGTGGAGTAAGACGAACACATAATTAAGAGGTGTGGAAGCTGTATGATAATCAGTGAGACCGGCCCGAGCAAGAAGATCAGAAGCATTCTTGGCTTAAGACAATAGAAGCCATTAGAGGAATCAGAAATCTCAAGCCTAAGAAATAGTGAAGCTGGCCCAAATTCTTCATCTCAAAACACTGACGAAGATAGTCCTGTAAATCAAAAATACCGGTGACATCATCTACATAAGGGCTATGTACATGTATATAGAGACATGTATTAACATATGATACCATACGAGAAAAGAGAAAGTATATGATTTCCTGTATTAACATAGGACTATGTACATGTATATATAAAAATAGATTATTTTACATAACGAAACAATATAAATTTTATATTTATACTTATTATTTACATAGGTTGTTAAATATATGATAATTATTTACCAAAATAACTATTTTATGAAATCACATTATAGTCAAATCGAATTTTGAATAAAATTTTTGAAATGATACTTATTTTGAAACGAATATAATGTGATTTATTACCAACTATGTGCATCACACATGTTGTGTACTAATTTTAAATTAAACATTTTTATGTAAATTTGTACAATTTAAACTTTATACGTGAAAACGGGTTTGTGGGAGAGCAACACAAGCTAACATTTTCACTAAATTAGAATAGGTATTGTATATAATAATTCCATATTTTAAATTTAAATATTATTTAAAAAGAATTTTTAGTTAATAAATATTAGTGATTATTTTTTACTAGGACTCATACTACAATGAATTAATAATATTACGTGAGGTCCATAAGAGAACTTTTGTCGAGGCTATGGTTGGTGAAACTAGTGCATGGATATCGTGAATCTAACTTTGTTGCTGATTGCATGGCCGGCATTGCCGCACGTAGCCCGGGAGGTTTGCAACTATTAGATGAGCCGCCGATTGAAGCTCGATAATGACTACATCATGATGTTATCGGGGTCGGTTACCCACAAAATTCTAACTTTTACCAAAAAAAAAAAAAAAA